TTTTCGAAGGTTCTTGATGTGACGAGGCTCGACAAGTATCGAAACAAGGCTGTTTAAGACTTCATTATGGACCGCTGCTATTTGAGATTTAACAGAACTATTGTTTTTCGCTTAGCCACCGTCAGACCGAAAGTGAGGTAACTCTAGTAGTTTAAATTGGGTTTACTCCTCTGAGCTGCGTGATTGGAGAGTCGAGATCATGAACAAACGTCCTGTAGAAACACTCGACCGCAAAAATCAATGAAAGCTGATTCACTGCTGATAGATTTGTGTAATTGGAGAAAGTAAAACACGGAAACTTCTGAAATACGAAACTGTTAAAGATATATAGTCAAATTAGTGGAGTAGTATGACGTACTACAATGCCGTACTGAGAAATATGCTCCTGTAGTATAGTGCCAATTTAGTACATGATAATGAGGCTGTCGCATAGTGTATAAAAATGGAGCACATTATGGTGGTAGAAATGTACCTGTAAATGGTGATCCCTGAAAATAAATTACTATTGATTAAGCGCCAAAAAGTTAATGTACTTGTAATGCTTGAAACTGACGAATGTGCGAAACCAGAGATTGCTGGACGTGTTTGATCAGAACGATATATTTATGACTGAGAGTATGTACTAATATGTGGCACTAACTGTTTTAGTGCCAGTACAGTATAGTGAAAATATATTGAAGTACATCAGAAAATGTTATGTAGATTGAATCCGTACCGGTTTAGATTTGAATGCTCAGGTGAACTTTGTGCATTTACGTGTCCTACGAAAGTGCTCTCAGGTATCTATTTTAGTTTCCACAAATAAGCCCTGTATCTGAAAGTTCAGGTGGTCGCAGGAAATAAACTATAAATTGACCACGACTTTCAGCTTATCGTTTGACTGGATGAATATCTACTGCGTTAAAGTTTTTCCACTGCTTACTTGGTAGCGAAATACGCAAAATATAGCTAGTAAGTACTAAAACAAACCTTGAGATTCAAGCTTATATGTGAATCTGTTATTTTAAGGTTCTGTTGATAAACGTAATTGCACTGAAATTGTTTAGATGACATGATATTGATGTTTGATTGACGTGATATTGATCCTTGATTCAGTCAACCATGCTACTTATCTGTAATATTTTAGCATTTGCAGAACATAAGTACGCTCCTTCGATCAGCTTAAGACCAGCAGAATATCTCAAAAGAACCCAGGAGCTGAACAATGCCAGCATCGAAGCATGACTGAAAACGAACCTGAAGATGATTCACGCGATGCTTAACAAGCCTTAACCCAACGACCTGTTGAAGTCAATGAACTTAGAAGGGCAAAACTATGTCAGTCTGAGACGAATGACCGATTCTCTGAAATGGAGAACCTATTATGTGAAATCAGCAGAAAAATGAAAATGGAATGAATAATTTTGAAAAGAATGAAATCATTCTAATAAGCTGTCTTTTGCTTGCAACCGTAAGCTTTAGATCAACGGTTGCTCGTAGTGTCAAAATATGGATCCGAAAAAAATAGACCCTAAGTTTGAAGGCTGTAAATTGCAGAGTAATCAATGTAGCGTGGAAAAACATTTAAAATAATAAGGAAAGATAGGAAGA